TGCGGCTCAACGGCACAACACAAACGATCAGGAACCGCGTGGCCTAATCTCTCGTCGTGTACCCCTCCCCTGCCCTAGAGATGGCACGGGTAACTTATTGTCAGCACTGAGTGGCGGCAGCGTTGACAGATCCCTGTCGTATTCGTGATCACATCGTCATTACACTTGCGGTTAAACCAGAAAAGGTGCTCATTCTCTTCTTGGGTCATGCACTAGAAAAGTGTCAAGTGGCGCCGGCGCTGAGAAATTGATGTCATATTCATGAAAAGCGCTCCAAACCACTTGAAAGCTAAGGTTGCATTCATAACTGGCAACATTGATGGTTTCGGCGTTAGAGACAATTATGCACAGATCCGACGTTTCCGGTGCCTAAGTTCAGAAGATTTGATACGTATCGATCCAACGTCGATCACGTCGGTTGGGTCCTTACGCACATGCTATAGTGCGGACATGAAAAGGGCGCGGCTGAGTGCTTCTTCTGAACATGGCATAGAATTCATTTTCCAAGGAGAATGGGGATGCAACTGCCATCCTCTCCTGTGCTGAACAGAGTCGCCATTACATTTGTTTCAAAACGACAGTATCAATGCAGTAGCGCATCCGCCACGCTCTTTCCATCCTCAGAATACGAAGTGTATCTCAGCAGCATAGTCGCTGGATTTTCCAAAGAGGGGGAACCTTGGCTCAACAGGAAAGGATGGTTGTTCGAAGTGGCCATTTGAAATGAGATGTATACCGGCTGATGCGTCTTTGGACACTGATTTCAAATCTGTCCTCCAAATCTGCTAAACGATTCTCCGAGCAGAATTATGGAGGCTTGTTGAGCAGACCACTGCTCGAGACCACCAATGCTCAGCAAGTATCTAAATGATGGGTGAGCTCGTTGCACACGTGCCTCAATGGCGTAGTGGAGAAGGCCTCATGTGTGCAAGGTCAAGGGTTCGGATCCTTCCGTAATTCGTCGTTTTGCATTTTCTCAAAAATGCTTCCTGCACATCCTAAAAGCACTTTTGCGGGGCTAGGAGACCTGATCCTACCGAAAAATTTTATTTCTGAAGGAATAGAGCCATTCTGGCAACACTCCTAAAGGATACTCCTGATTGTTGGTTTCGGCGGCATTATTCGTTGCGTTGTGTTGTGTCGCCAAACTGATTCCAAATGGCATGGAAGCCAAAAGTGGATGTCGTGGTTGTGATCAGGACCGTCAGTAACCAACAAGGACTGAAATTTAGCGGAAAAGCTCCATTGCTCACAGAGATTTTGATCGGCGATAGTGCCAGCGACCTTAAAGACACATAGGTACGCTCATACACATTGAGGGTGTATGAGACTATCAGCCCCCCAGATGTCGATGTGTCGTGGTCCCCCCGCCCAAACA